GTCCCTCTGCAGGGGGAATATTCAAAAATGGTTTTTTATTTAAAAGAACAACAAGAAAAGTCGGGGGAGCATTTTTTGAGTATTTGGGGGCCTCTTGTGAGGATGTGTTGCGTCTTTTTTATGTTTCGAAATCCCCCTGTAGGGGGACAGGCCCGACCTAAGCCCAGACCCCCTCTCGCTGCGCCAGAAATCACGACGGCATCCCGCCGTGATTGTTGTCGGTAGAAGGCTCGAGGTTTCTCGAGGCCCCTGAGGCCGAAACTGGCAATCTATGTTGTTGTGATCCCTTGGGTTCTCGTCGTGATTTTTTCGCGGGAAACCCCAGAGGCCGTCAAAAATAGTGAGAAACCTCGCGGTTTCTCGCTATCTTCGGCCTCTGGGGGCCCTTCCCGGGCCCCGAGAGCGTACACGTAAGAAAACGACGCAGTATGAAGAACCGGTTCGGGCGAAGGGGTCCAGACCTTTGGGGGTCGACGTTGTGAAACCATCACGGCGTCTAGGGAATCGGGTAAACGTAAGACTCGAGTGCGCTGGAACTCGGGTTTGCCGACGATTTTTTGACGAGCGCGTTCTGGGTTTTGACGGTCCAGTTTCCGTGGGATGTCTGCAGCGGGAGTTCGCGTCAAAATTAATACGGGTCTCGTCATTTTCATGATGGCCCCGTCAGGCCAACCCGAGTCCCCCGAACCCGAGTCTTACATCTCCCCGACTGAAGGCCCTGGAGGAGTGGTGGAGCCGCGGTTTTGGAAAAGAACGCCCATCTCTAATGCGTGCCGATGCGGGCCCAATCCCCCGGCCCCAAATGTAAAGTTCGGGGCGTTCGAAGGCGGGGGGGGGTGCGAGTCGTTTCGAAGGAAACGCCCACGTTTGCAAGCCGCGGCCCGCTCGATGAGATGAGCGTTGAGACTCGGGGGGCGCGGGTGGCGCCCTTGCGCCCTCTTCCGGTCGTTGCGCCTGGGCGCTCCCTTGTGCTGATAAAAGAAGCGCCGGGGCCCGCGCTCCCCGCCAGGTCCGCGCCCTGGGGCTGGACGTCGCGAGGGCGATACGCGGGAACTCCACGGCGGTGCCCTCCACGGAGACGGAGGACATCAGGCCCCCAGCTGAGGGGGGGGGCGACGCCCTCCCCCGCCCCGCTGGGGAGCGAAGAGGGCGAAGGGGGCGTGCCCGCACGCGGGCTCCCACGCGGGCGGGCTTCGAGAGCACGCGCCTTCCAGGAGAGGCAGGCGAAGCACAGACACGATGATCTCGTCGACTCCGAGGAGAGCATGGGAGACTATGGGAAGTGTGGGGGGGGGGGCAGACGAAAGCCCAGAACACGTGGGAAAGCATATGGGGAATCCTGGGAACCGTGCCTACGTATTCGCGTGCCCCAGGGGCCCCTTTTAGCCTTGGGCGAGCGCCGCAGGTGCGGCGCGACCTCGCGAGCAGCACGGGAGGATGCCGCTGCTCGTCCCGGGGAGCCCTCGTCACCGCGGCTGGAGGCAAAGCACTTCTTGCTGTGCTCGGCCTCTGGGGGGTCCCTCGGCGGGCCCCGGGGCCGTCAGAAACGGCTCAGGATGAGAAAGCGGTCCTGGGGAATGGGTCGAAACCTCGGGGGGTCGACGCTATAATGAGATCATGTCATCGGGGGTCCTGGACAGACGTCGGCGGCGAGCGAGGCGGGGAGTGAGAAGGAGAAGGCCTTCTCAGAAGGCGGCGGGGCTTCTCGGAAGGCCTCCAGCCTTCTCCTCGAAACCCTGGGTCAGAACGAACCCCAGGAGGGGTCAGGGAGTAGCGGTGCTGGTACTTCTTCGTCTCCCCAGGAATCGAGAAGGAGATGGACTGCAGGATTCATTTACCCCAGAATTGTCCGACGGATCCACGATACATATATATATACACACACACATGTTCGAATATTCGTATATCTACGCTCATGTCATGTACTCTTCGTAGACTCGATCAAATCTGGGGTGAATCGATTCTGCAGTTGGTTTCATTTTTACTCGAGGAACAGGGGGGGATCATCATCGCGTGCGTGGCTGAGCGTAAGCGTCCTTCTTGGCGCTCCCCGCCTTTCTTGGAGGAGTGGGGATGGCAGAGGTCCAGGGAGGCCCCCAGGAGTGACAGAGGTAGGTTGATCCAAGTGACGCCACAGGAATTGGCGCTCCGGGCGGCGCGCCTCGCAGCGCCGCGTCGCCAAGAGAGCGAGGCGGCGGAAGGCTCGGCCTCGCACCTCCAGGAACTGTAGGCTCCCTGGCTCTATTTCGATACTGCTTGTCTCGGGGCTCGTCCCCGGCACCGCTGCCCCGCAGCCTGCCTCGGCGCCCCCCTGCTCCCCGGCCGCCGGCCCGCCGCCGCTGGCCTCCCCCCCCCGGCGCCGCCCCCGCCGCACGCCTGGCCCCGCTCTGGGCGGGCCTAGCTTTCCTCTCCCGCATCCGCCGCCGGGCGCCTCCTCCCACCCCCCTCCTGCACGGTGGCTCAGTTCGCGTTTCGTGCATTCACCAGCGGCTTATCGCCAGCGCAGTGACTCCGCCTAGCCGCCGACGCCAAAAAATTGTGTCTGGGCTCGTGCGGCATCGACGCGCGGCCCGCTCCAGCGGAGCGAAGCGAAGCGGAGGAGGCCCCCTGGGGGGGTCTGCGTGCTCGTGCGGGGCTCGCCTGGCTGCAGGCTCCTCCTCCTCCTCCTCCTCCTCGCCCCCCTTCTCATCGCCCTCCTCATCGCCCTCCTCCTCCTCTTCCGCCTCCTCCCCCTCCTCGCCCTCCTCCTCTTCCTCTTCCTCCCCTCCTCCTCCTCCTCCTCCTCCTCCTCCTCCTCCTCCTCCTCCTCCTCCTCCTCCTTTTCCTTTTCCTTTTCCTCCTCCTCTTCCTCCTCCTCCTCCTCCTCCTCCTCCTCCTCCTCCTCCTCCTCCCCCTCTGGCACTCGACTTCTGAGCTTGGAGGAGGAAAAGGTACCGATACCGCTCTCCTTGCCTCGTTTTCTCCTCTTCGGGACTCCTGGGACGCCTTCGTTACCACCGTTGGATTCGCTCCGAGATGCTGGTCCGAACGCGACCCGGGAGAGGTCGTGGGAGTAGCGGTATGGGCTCCCTTTGGTTTCCCCGTGAGCCCCAGCCGACGTTTCAGAATTCTGACCTGCAGGGGCAGGGTTGTGTGGTTGTCTGTGGGGGCCTCCAGGGGGTCGAGAGAGTCAAAAGCAGGCACAGTCGCCCAGGCAGCTTCCCCCCAGGATGGCTGAAGAGCTCCGCCCCGCTGGCCTGGCTAGGAGGGCGTCCACCGCGTACACACCAAGCCTGGCCAGGCTTGGTCCTCCTCCTCCTTCCCCTTCTTCTCCTCCTCCTCCTCCTCCTCCTCCTCCTCCTCCTCCTCCTCCTCCGTCGTTCGTTTTCTTCATCAATAACTCATCCCTGTCGCGCCCTGAAGCCGGTCGAGAGGGCGGGCAGGGCGTTTCGCTTGAGATTTACTCACCACGTGTGACCCTGGAACTTAAATGTTGAGAACCGTTTCACAGATGAGGGGCGGGTGCGCCTTCCGCGCGCATACGTTTTGGACAATTGAAAGGGTTTCACGGATGAAGGGCGGGTGGTTTGCAAAATGTGGTTATCGTTTTAGCGCCGCGTCTTCAAACGCTGCAGGAGTTTCAAGGATGGAAGACCGTTGGTTTTCAACATGTGGCTCTCGCCTTAGCGTCGCGCGCACTCGTCGTAAACAGTTGCAAGAGTTACACGGATGGAGGGCAGGTCGTTTTCAAGATGTGGCTCTCGCTTTTAGCGCCGCGCACATGCAATTGTAACATGCAAGAGAGCTTCACGGATGGAGGGTGGGTCGTTTTCAAAATTTGCTTCTCGGCTCAGCGCCGCGCGCATTCGTTGTTCTGTTTTGCAAGAACTTCACAGGCGGAGGGCGGGTCGTTCTCAAACTGTGGCGCTCGATCCAGCGTTGCGCACATTCGCTGTGAAGGAACAGGAGCTTCACGGTCGGAGGGCTGTTCACGAAGTGGTTTTTCGCTGTAGCGCCGCACAGGGGGTTCACGGGTTCTCATGGTCAGAGTGCTAGAAATTGCGTTTCGCAGCGTTTCGGGATCGTCAGGGCGCAACAGTTACCTTGATTCCTGGTGTTGAAGTCCCAGGCGTGGTGTTCTGGCACGCATCAGCACCGTCAAGACGTAACCGTCACGTTGATTCGCGTCGTTGGATTCCCGAGAACGGTTTCTTGGCACGTTTAAGGGTCTTCAAACGAGTGTCTCCCAACGGGGCACTTCCCTCAGTAGAAATGTATCCTTGTAGGGGCTTATGAAGAGGGAGCTTGGAGGGAAACGTCGTTGAGGAGTCTTGGGTTTGCCCTGGTCCTCCTCCCCCCTCCCCTCCCCCTCCCCCTCCTCCTTCTCCCCCTCCTTCTCCTCCTCCTCCTCCTCCTCCTCATACTCCTCCCCGTGAGCATGTTTCATACCTGTCTGTACGCAGCACTGTCCGTGGTGCCTGCTCTGTTCTACAGTTGTACGAAGCATCTTCCGTTGCAACAGGTTGCCCGGATTGCGTGTCCCACACTCCTGCCCTCCTAGAGGACAGCCCCATCGGGGTTGGAGTGCCGGTCGCATCGCATCACATCGCATCCCCAGCACGAAAAATGGGGCCAGTACTTTTGTCCAGCGTTTGGCCTCCCAGGCCCCTGCCAGGTCCACGGGGACCGCCGAAGAAACGGGACGAGATAAGAGATTGGTCTGGGGGTAAGCCCATAGGGCTCATGGCGCCAACATCGCAGAGCGGATTTTGTTCGGAAATCCGTAGACGCGGCCCGAATTGTCCTGGAGAGTTTCGTTCTGGATTCGACATGCATTTCGTGCCGAATGTTTGTTGTAAGGAATGAAAGCGAAACACATCCACGTGAAATTCACTTCGTTGTTCGCTCGCCGTTTTGGGTTTTGCATTGAAACAAATCCACGCAAACATCCGCTGCAGCACGTCTGCAAGGTCGGTGCAGTGACAGGGTCCAGGACCCGTTTCCCTCAGGATCTTTATCGAATGGTTTTGGACACATCTCGCCACCTTGCCTGTGTTGTGGGTAGGAACGAAGGCGATTGGATGTTCGCTGGGGTCTCGTGGGGGGCCTCGTCGGGGGCCTCTTGGAGGCAGTTTTGAAGCCTCTTGGGGGCAATTTTGGGGCCTCTTTCGGCCCTCTTGGGGGCATCTTGGGGGCCTTCTGGGGCCTGTTGGGTGCCTCTTGGGGCCACCTGGGGCCTTTTGGGGCGGAAGGCTCGGACTTTCGGTTCGTGTTCCTTCTCTTGGGTCCCAGTTCGGACGTCTTAGGGCCCTCTTAGGCCGTCTTGGGCGCCTCTTGGGCCGTCTTGAATCGCTCTTACGCCGTCTGGGGGCCCTCGTGGAGGCCTCTTGGACCGTCTCGGGGTGGTCTTGGGAACCTCTTGGGCAGGCTTGGAGAGTAGAAAACCGAAAAGACGAGAACGTCAAGCACCCAAGGGAAATCGTTGTTACATATGTAAGATATATAGTCCATATACAGACATCCATATATATATATATATATATATATATATATATATATATATATATGTATATGTACATCTGTGTGCGGTTACGAACTATGTATATATACATATATGTACATATGTGCATGTATATACACCTGAAACAATAGAAAACGGAAATCATTGATTTGTGCTTCTTGGGGCCCGCTTGGGATGCCTCTTGGCGGCCTCTTGGGGCGTCCTGGAGGCCTCTTTGGGCCGTCTTGGAGGCCTCTCTTGGGGCTCTCTTGGCCCGTCATGGGGACCTCTTGCCCAGACCCCCTCGGGCAATGAACAAATCATGACTTGGCCCCATGTTCCAGAGGGTGCCTTCCTCGATGCGTGGATCTGGCGCCCGCGCCAGAGATCCACGGATCTGTGGTTCGTGTCAGCGTGCGCTTGAGTAAGGGGGCGTGAGCGAGAAGGGGGTAGACGGGAGGGAGGGAAATTGAGTGGAAGAGGCGGTAAGGGAGGGGCGGACAGGAGGAGTCGGGCGGTGCTGGGACAGGGATGACATCGTTCCAGAGCGCTCCGAATCGCTCTCGGAGCGGCCTGGAAGGCTCTGAGGAGGCCGCGGCGACCACCACATCCTCGTCTACGGCCGCGGCCCGCAGCGATGAGTGGGTTGCACTTAGGGCGTCCACAGTGGGCGCTCGGTCGGAGCTCGTCCCAGGGGTGGCCACGAGAAAAAATCAGATCCCCGCTGCATCCCTGTCCGATGTTATCCCTGTCCTGGCTTCATCTCAGGGGGGGCGGGGCCCACGAGGGGAGGGGGAATGGAGCCGAGGCCCCCCTTGACGGGTACTTTGGATGAACCAGGGCACTGGCGCGCCCAGGAAAGTTGCAGCCGATGGTCGAAGCCCCTCCTCCTCCTCCTCCTCCTCCTCATCATCATCGTCATCATCATCATCCTACCTCTCCTCCTCCTCCCCCTGCTCCTCCTCCTCCTCCTCGTCCTCCTCCTCCCCATCCTCCTCCTCATCCTCCTCCTCCTCGACCTCCTCCTTCCACTCCCTCCGGACGGAATGCTCAAAGCCCTAATTCACATTGTCGTGGGTTGGGGGGCCCTCGGGGAGGGGCCGGCCGAAGATGTCGGCACAGCAAATCAGGGAAGCGGTGTGGGTTCTCGCAGTTTCGCCTTCCGGGTGCACTCGCGCGCGCTAGCGTCTGGCCGTCGATGCGAAAGCGCCGAGGTCGCGTCGACTTCGCGCCGGTTCGCAAGAGCCAGCACGATTGTCGGGTAGGCCCCCGTGAGCTGCCGCAGGAGAGGCGCCAGGCGGACCGAGCTGTCGTCGGAGGCGATCGGTGGTCTTCGCCCGCCCCCCCCCCCTGGCGCTCGAGCGGCGAGGCGGCGCATCGTGGAGCACCTCCGCCCGAGAGCCGCGGAGATCCGGGAGCTCCGGGACAGCCTGGTGCCGCAAGACCTCGAGGACGGGGGGCTCGGCGGCGGGGGGCAGCTCAGACTTGCTCTGACAAGCTCTGGGCGTAGGCAAGATTCCTTTTCCGTGTCCTGTGCGTGCTGGACCTTTTTTTTGGAAGGGGCGCCACAGGGCCGAGGCGCACTGGATATGGATCAAAATCCGGTCTGGCCAGATCGCAATCCGCATCCAGTTCGCCTCGGGCTGGGGCGGGGAGCCTGGAGCTCCAAGCCGCAGTGGATATGGAAACACGTCTTGCCAGCACTGGGGGTGTCTTTCTTCCGTTTTGCACTTTTCGCTTTCGACTCGGCCAACGCGTTTCAAAAATGGCACCGTGAACGTGGACGTCAGGCAGGCGCCATGGTGATGTCTAGAGCGTATTGAACCGCGCTGAAAGCGGAGAAAGAGAGAGAGAGAGAGAGAGAGACCGAGCAGGCGGGCCACGGGCCGATTCCGGACTTGAGAAAACGTGGCAAGAACGGCGCCCACAACGGCAAGAAAGAGCCGAGCTCGAAACCGCCAAAACACGCCCCCAGCGTCTTCAATCAAGGGAGGAAGGGGTCCCTATACCTCTGCCCTTTCTTTGTTTTTCCCCTTTTGGGCCTCATGGGAGGCCCTCGTCGCCACCGCTGGAGTCGCTTCGAAGTTCTGGTCAGAACGCACTCTAGGAGAGGCCCTGGGGGCAGCGGTATCGATGCCTCTTGGTTCCCCCACTCAAGATCATCCAAGGGAGGGAGGCGTCATCCCTGCGCGTGCTGCCCTGGAGAGGCCCGATCTTCCTCCCGTCTAGTTGCTCCATCTTGTCTCGGGGGTGGACAGAGCCCCCACCCTGACACGTCGATTAGTGAATTGTCCGTTGTCGGCTCTGGAGAGGGCGCCGCGGCCGTCATTTGCCAGGCTTGCGCCCGCCAGGTTTGGGCCCGAGGTCGTTTTCACGAAAACACGTGTTGCTGTTCTGTCCATCCCCGATTGTCCTGCTCTCTTCCCATCATTCACGTGTGATTGTTTCCTCTGCCGTTTGGGGCCCTTGACCCACGGCGCCCGGGAAAGGTATCATACGCCTCTCGATTCCGATCCGACCCGAACTGATCCAAAACGACAGGTGGGAGGAGGAGGACCATCACAGGCGGAACGCGGAGGCCGCCAGAGGCCGTTCAAGGAGGGAACAGAGACCGGATCATGCGGGCGTCTCAGCTGGTCTGTTAATTGGCACTATGACCTGGGAGGCTTATGATCGCGGGCGGCCAAGAAGGGGGTGATGGTTAGGGGGGGAGTCGTGTTTTTTGTCCGATGCTCTAGTTTTCTCGCGCCGTCGGGTCTCAGGGAGCACGGCCTCCTCCAACTCCTCCCCAACCAGCCTCGAACGTATCCCTAGATCCCTCGGATCGGCAAGCCCAAAGGCGATAACAATCTTAGGACGGGGCGAGGGCGAGGATATGTCCGTTACAGAGCGTTCCGGAACACTGCCAGAGCCTCCTGGAGCGCTCTGAGGAGGCCGCGGCGCCCGAGACATCCTCCAGATCCGCCGATTTCAAAGATGCTCGAGTTATCCTTGCCCGATTTTATCGCCGTCCTGGCTTCACTTTAAATCTCAGAGATGTGCCCGTAGATGGACAAAAAGTGGAACCCTTCACTCCGCCCCCGCTCCTCCCTCCAGATTTAAAGTTGGTCCCCGGGGATTCGGCAGCACAGGCGTGAGGGAACAAAAAAAGTGGAACCCGCAGGGCCTCCAATAGGCCCGACCCAACTCAGAATCTGGGGGGGAGGAAAGGAGACGAACACTGGGTCGAGCACAAAGTGGTTCTACCTTTTGCTTACCTCATCGGCCCTCAGAAGCTGATGAAATCCGTAAGATCGGCACGCTCCTGCGCTCCCCACCGTCGGTCCCCGCTCATATATATATATATATATATATATATATATATATATATATATATATATGGTCGCCCCCCCTGTGATCATACATCTCCGTCTTCCGTGTTCGCTCTCTCCCTCTCTCCTTCTCTCTCGCTCTATCCCTCTCTCTCGTTTTGTTGTTCTCTCTTTGCGTTTGTCTCTCGCGCTCTCTGTGATTGTCTGCTGCTGTCTTCGACTGTTTGTCTTTCACGCTCTCTGTGATTGTGTTTGAGCTTTTCCAGCTTTTCCGAAAGATTACCCTCGTGAAACAAGTTTTTGTTTTCCAGCTTTTCCAGCTTTTCCAAGAGACTACCCTGGTGAAGAACCTTGTGTTTTCCAGCTTTTCCAGCTTTTCCCAGAGACTACCCTGGTGAAAAACCTTGTGTTTTCCAGTTTGTCCAGCTTTTCCAGCTGGAAAACACAAGGTTTTTCACCAGTGTAGTCTCTGGGAAAAGCTGGAAAAGCTGGAAAACACAAGGTTTTTCACCAGGGTAGTCTCTGGGAAAAGCTGGACAAGCTGGAAAAGCTGGAAACACACAAGGTTTTTCACCATGGTAGTCTCTGGGAAAAGCTGGAAAAGCTTGAAAACACAAGGTTTTTCACCAGGGTAGTCTCTGGGAAAAGCTGGAAAAGCTGGAAAAGCTGGAAAACACAATGTTTTTCACCAGGGTAGTTTCTGGGAAAAGCTGGAAAAGCTGGAAAACAAAAGGTTTTTTCACGAGGGTAATCTTTCGGAACAGCTGGAAAAGCTCAAACACAATCACAGAGAGCGTGAAAGACAAACAGTCGAAGACAGCAGCAGACAATCACAGAGAGCGCGAGAGACAAACGCAAAGAGAGAACAACAAAACGAGAGAGAGGGATAGAGCGAGAGAGAAGGAGAGAGGGAGAGAGCGAACACGGAAAACGGAGATGTGAGTAGCGCCGTAGAAGCGCTTTGCAGTGTCGAAGACTTGGTTTGTGGTGTGGTGTCATCACTGATGCTGAGGCGTTGCTGGTGTCGTTGCGTAGCAAGCGTGCGGCCATGTGGCCTTGTGTTCGAGCGCAGTGATGGGAACCCGTTTTTGGGGTTCCCTCCTGGGTCCGCGTCCGCCACGGAGGGGCATCCGTTTTTCGGGTGCCCGCCAGAGTAGCGCCGTGGAAGCGCTTTGCAGTGTCGAAGTTTTGGTTTGTTGTGTGGTATCATCACTGATGCTGAGCCGTTGCTGGTGTCGTTGCGTAACAGGCGTCCGACCATGTGGCCTTGTGTTCGGGCACAGTAATGGTAACCCGTTTTTTGGGTTCCCTCCTGGGTCCGCGTCCGCCACAGAGGGGCATCCGTTTTTGGATGCCCCTCCAGAGTAGCGCCGTGGAAGCGCTTTGCAGTGTCGAAGACTTGGTTTGTGGTGTGGTGTCATCACTGATGCTGAGGCGTTGCTGGTGTCGTTGCGTAACAAGCGTGCGGCCATGTGGCCTTGTGTTCGAGCACAGTGATGGTAACCCGTTTTTTGGGTTCCCTCCTGGGTCCGCGTCCGCCACGGAGGGGCATCCGTTTTTTGGATGCCCCTCCAAAGTAGCGCCGTGGAAGCGCTTCGCAGTGTCGAAGTTTTGGTTTGTTGTGTGGGTTCATCACTGATGCTGAGCCGTTGCTGGTGTCCTTGCGTAACAGGCGTCCGACCATGTGGCCTTGTGTTCGGGCACAGTGATGGTAACCCGTTTTTTGGGTTCCCTCCTGGGCCCGCGTCCGCCACAGAGGGGCATCCTTTTTTGGATGCCCCTCCAGAGTAGCGCCGTGGAAGTGCTTTGCAGTGTCGAAGACTTGGTTTGTGTATGAACATGTGGGGAGGAGACAGGTTGAAAGGAGAGGGTGGGGAGGGAGAGGGGGAGGATGAGGAGGAGGAGGAGGAGGATGAGGATGATGATGATGACGAGGAGGAGGAGGAAGAGGAGGAGGAGGAGGAGGAGGGGAGGAAAAGGGGGAGGATGAGGAGGAGGAGGACGACGACGACGACGAGGAGGATGAGACAGAATGCGAAATGTATGATCACAGGGGGGGCGAGCATACATATATATATATATACATATATATATATATATATATATATACATATATATATATATATATATACACACATATATATACATATATATATATACACATAAGCCATATCCAGATATGTATACATATATATATACACAATCACCCGACAACCCCCCTACCCCCCCCCCAAAAAAAAAAACAGACCCCCTCCCCAAGGATGCCCCCGACACCCTTTCGAACGTCTCGGCGGCTCCTGGGACGCCCTTGGAAAAGGTCCGCTGGCCCTTCCGGGCCTCCCAGGGCGCCTTGCCGGGCGTTGCGAGCAGGCTCAAGGCGATCAGAGGGGTCATCGGAGAGGCGCAAGAGAGACTCAAGCCAGCACAAGAGCGCTCCAAGAGGAACCTCGATGGTCCGAAGATAGCCCACCAGGCCCCCAAGACGCCCCAAGAGTCCGTTAAAAGAGCTCCGAATAAGCAAACGTCGTCCAATTCCCTTGGTAAACGTATATATTTAGCATCTCCGTTTTTTTGGTCTTCGCAGCGTCCAAGACGGCCCGGTGGGCCCCCGATATCGCCCCAAGACGGCCCAAGAGGCCCCCCAGAGGGTTTGAAGACAGCCCAAGAGGGCCCCAAGACTGCCCAAGAGAGCCCCGAGACTGCCCACAAGAAGCCCAAGATGCCCCCAGAAGGCTCCCAAGACAGACGCTCGAAAGCCGTCAGGGCCGTTTTGGGGCTCTATAGGCCGTCCTGGGGCCTTCTTGGGCCGTCCTGGGGTTTTCTTGGGCCGTCTTGGGGAGCTCGGGCCCTCCAGCGGTCTTCTGAAGCCAGAAGGGGGTTTCTTGGGAGCCGCCGGTGGCCTTCTTGGGGGTCTCCCATGGCTTTTGTGGGTCTCTCTTGGGGGCCTTTTGGGGGCATCTTGGGCCTCTTGTGGGCAGTCTCGGGGCTGCTTCGGGCAGTCTTGGGGCCCTTTTGGGCCGTCTTCAGACCCTCTGAGGGGGCCTCTTTGGCCGTCTTGGGGCGATATTCGGGTCCCATCGGGCCGTTGTGGACGCCTCGAAGACCCCCAAAGCGGATACGTTTTGAAATTCGTAATTTTTTAAGGGAATGGCGCGATTTTAGTGTTTTCCGTGCTTTCTTAACGGCCTCTTGCGGCGTTTTGGTGGCCTCGTGGGCCGTCTTCAGACCATCGAGGTTCATCCCGGAGCGCTCTTGCGTTGTCTTGGGCTTTTCTTGCGCCTCTCCGATGACCCCTTCTGGTCGCCTTGAGCCTGCTCGCAAGGCCCGGCAAGGCGCCCTGGCCCAAAGGGCCAACGGACCGTTTCCAAAGGTGCCCAGGGGGCCGCTGAAACGCCCTAAAGGGCGTCCGGGCCGTCCTTGTGGGGGGGGTCTGGTTTAGGGGGGGGGTCCGGATAATATATATATATATATATATATATATATACACACACACATACATACATACATACATACATACATACATACATACATACATACATACCATACCATACCATACCATACCATACCATACCATACCATACCATACCATACCATACCATACCATACCATACCATACCATACCATACATACATACATACATACATACATACATACATACATACACACACATACATACATACATACATACATACATACATACATACATATATACATACATACATGCATACATACATACATACATACATACATACATGCACACACATACATACATACATACATACATACCTACATACATACATACATACAGACAGACAGACAGACAGACAGACAGACAGACAGACAGACATGCATACATACATATACATATACATATACATACATATATACGTGCATACATCCACACATACATGCATGCATGCATGCATGCGTGCGTGCGTGCGTGCGTGCGTGCGTGCATACATACATACATACATACATACATACATACATACATACATACATATACACACATATGGATGCCTTCGTCTGTGGCGTTGAATATGGGTCACGGCTTCGTGTCCACATGGAGTTCATCATATTGTTCTGCTTCGTGGTCCTTTTGCTGCTTGCCCGACACGAGGTGAAACGACATGTTGCGGAAAACAAATCGCCAATCCCCGCCCCCCCCAGTCCATTTCCCACTCCTCTCCCTCCATCCGTGCCAGCTCCTGTCGGGAGGGGGAACACCTACACACAAAGAACGGTCGATTCCCCAGAAAATGCTTGGACATGTGGGAAGTTGAAGGGAAGACGAAGCTCCAGAAAGCATCGAACCAATGGGGAATCGTGTGGTTTGTGTATATATTTGCGTGTCCTTGGGTCCCCTTGATCCTGCCCAGGACATCTGGGGCTCGGGCGGCGAGTGGGACATGACCCTGGAGCCCGAAAACGTGGCCATGATGCTCATGGTGGAGGGCGAGTTTGCCTTCATGCCTTACGTGCTCAGCTCCGCTCGCGGCAGGGAGCAGAAGGCCGGGCGATGCTGATCTTGACAATGTTGCTGGTGATGGTTATGGCGATTGAGGTGGTCAGTATGGCGAATGTGGCGGTGAGGTGGGCGTTGCTGATGACGATGATGTTGCCGATGAGCTGATGATGATGATGATCATGGTCCGATGCCACCGAGGAGGTCTCGAGCTCTCCGCCCTACACGTGCTCAGGCACAGTTCCTGCCGCTGCGCTGCGGTACGAGGCCCTGCCCGTGCGAAGCACACCCGCAGACCGCCCAGAGAGCCGCGAGGGCGCCCAACGCCTCCCGCCGAGGCAGACGCCCGTCGTGACGTCGCAGTTGTCTCGAGGAACGAGTTCGCGCGTCGGCCATGGCATTCGCGACCGCTGCCCCCCAGCGGGGATGGCCCGGCACAGCCCGGTCCCCGACAGCCGCGAGCAAACGCAGCACACGGTCCGCCGACGTTCGTGACACGTGCCCCCCTTTTACATCGCCCGTTTGCTGTAAGAGCGTGGCGTCTGCTCTTAGAACACCCGGTTGTTCTGAATAGCGTGTCGTGGTCAGCCGACAGGAGTGCCAGGACGGCCGGTCCCTGCTCAACCCTCAGCCTTCGGAGGCGGCCCACCAGGAGGTCTGGCGCGGGCGGTGGCACTCGCGAGCCCGCCGACACTCGTGGCCCGTGCCCTCTTCGGAAGCGGCCCGCCAGCGCAGGCGGTACGCATCCGCGCAGCGAGCGAGGCGTGACAGTCGAGACCCGTGCCCCCCGACAGGAGCGGCCGCCACCAGCGTCGAGCGCGGCACGCATCTTACGAGCACCGCGATCCAAAGAGCCACAGTCCTCCGGGTGCGGTTCCGAAGCCTTCGCTCGGGTCTTCGAGGCAAACACGGACCCATGGGCCCAAATTGTGTGACAATGCCAACGCGCACGGCACATTTGCCCAGGCGTCGACGATGTGAGGAACGCCGCGGCCCCCAGGGAGCGGCTCCGAAGCCTTCGCTCGGGTCTTCGTGGTCGACGCCATATGGCGGAGCAACGCAGCCCTCAGGGCACGCGGCCGACACGCGGACCCCGATGCTATGCCCCAGCGCCAGGAGGAGGAGCCCAGGCATGATCAGTCGCCCGACGGACTACAGTGCAAACACATGCTAAGAGACACCCTGCTTGCCTCCAGGGTGCCCTGGGTTTCTTGGGTCTCGATGGTTCTGCTATGGAAAGCTTGGCTTCCCCAAGCCAAAAATCAATGGACGTCCTGGGGCCCGAGACAGCCCAACATGGACCGAAGGCCTCTCCGGAAGACCGCCAGATGGCCAAAGGCTTGGGAAACAAATAGTGGCATGAACAATGATTTTCGGAGGTCCGCGCGGATTCTCGGATGGGCGTTGCACCCTGGTGGCGCCTCAGGCGCCGCCCCTGGCGCGCTCCGCTCTCCAGGGAGGGGGGTCCAGCGCCGATCCGAGAAATCCGCGCGGACCTCCAAAAATGGTTGTTTATATCATTCTTTGTTCCTCGAGGCCACATCGGACAGGGATAGGACGAGGATAAACCCGTTCCAGGGCGTTCAGGAACGCTCTCAGAGCGTTCCTGAACGCTCTGAGAAGGCCGCGGCGTGCGAGACATCTTGCCCGGGTTGCGAATCGACTGCCGCAAAAATGGCCGCGACGTGTTCTCCATTGGCACTTCAGCTTCCACGCCGACCAGAATGGACAGCGTCATCATGGTGGGCAGTGGAGGAGATGGGACGATGATATCCGTGAGTTTCTGCGCCCTGTCCACGCCGCAGACAGGCAGCGCCAGACAACGCACAGGCACAGCTACATTAATGACACCACGTGGCCACACTCGACTACAACAGATGGGCGGGAACAGTTGGAGACATAGTTCGTTACCTATACACGCCAGTCGTTGAACGTAAGTATCTCTGGATTCCCAGATCCCAATCTGCTTCAAGCGCCTTCCTACTTCAAGAACTGATATGCTTGTGCTGTGTTTTTGTTACTCTGGGAGGGCCTGAACCCAGTCTGCTCTATCTGCCTTCCTACTCCCTGCTTCTAACTACTTCTTCCGACCGACGTGTACGTCTTCCGGCACCCCAGCGACACCGGCGTCTTGCCATCGATGTTCCCGGTTGTTCTTGCGCGGCCATGCCTCACATGCTCTGCGCTCAGGGGGCCCGGGCGGATGCCCGCCGTGAGCGTCCCGCTCCGCCCCGCTCCGTGCCCCTGTGGTGTGAGCATGGGCACGCTGTGTGTTGCGAAGCTATCTGCGGCCTTGGGATCGCGAGTCCACTGTTTTGTTTGCGAGGTGTCGTTGCCCGGCGGCGAGCGAGGGGTGGAAGTGAGGAGGAGGAGGAGGAGAAGGACTTCTCAGAAGGCGGCGGGGCTTCTCGGAAGCCCTCGCGCCTTCGGAGATGTGTTTCCCGCGTCTTAGGGCAAGGCGTGGAGAACTTCTCAGAAGGCCGGGGGACTTCCGAGCCGTCTCAGACGGCCCACCCCTTCTCACTCCCCCCCTCGCTCACTGCCGAATTGTGCTGGGATCGCAGGTCCATCGCGTTTGCTTGCGAGGGGTCGTGGCCCTGAGGTCGCGGGTGCATTGTTTGGACTTGGGTGTCGTGGCATCGGGAATGGGGATCCGTCGCTTGACGGGAAGCGCGAAGTGGTTTTCGATAGGATATAAACACAATGGCGATCCCATAATCGATCAATCGGAGGTCGGCACATTTTCTACAATCCGTTTCTTGTGCCTCAGAAGGCGTTCGACCTTACACAAGAGGTCGCCGTGAGAGCCCAACCCCAAGAGCGCATCAGAAACATATTGCGTTTTCCACTTCGACGAGATCGCAAAAGACAGCAAAAGGCCCCCGGATGCCACCAAGAGGTTCCAAGAAAGGTTTCAAGTCGTTCTGGGGGAGGCCCCACAATGCCAATATTAGCATCTCGTCTTGGTTGCTCGTGTATGGCTGGCGTACTCTCCTTCCTGCCCGAAGCTTCAAGGTAGCCTCTCCGTTGCCGTGTTGGTTCGAGCCAACACCGTTCAAGCCAATAGTGATTTTCAGCCAGGGTCGTTGGGGCTAGAGAGAGGCCTTGAGTGCACGAGCAATTCCGGCGTGGGGGCCACTGCCACTGGCACGAGGCAAGCTTTGAGGATGGACCACGCGCGAAGCCCACGCTCGGGTCTCATGGACGAGGATGTGGATTACGGCGCTCAACTGCCATGCGCAAGCACCATGCTTACGCACCATGCCCAGCCCTTACCACTTGGACCGGCGCACGTTGAGTGTGAGCCATGCTTGCTGCAGTGCGCCATACCGGTTGGTCAAGATTGGGCCATGCGCGAGGCAGGCGGCGTTATCGGAGGAAGCCGTGGGCGGTTCGCGAGGGCGTCTGCTACTCTAGCGATTCTGGCATTGCTGTGTTGCGCCGTCGCCACAGGCTTGGTTTGCACCCGGGGTGCAGCATCCGTCGGGTCTGGAGACGCAAACCACATGTCGCTTGCAGGGCTTGATATTTCGAGTAGTTCAAGCAATGCGTCCATTGACGGAGATATCCGAATACAGATTTGGCTCTTGCTTCCACGTCCAGATTTCGACAAGGGTCTTCTTTTGTATCATCCTGCGCTGGTAAGCTTCAAAGATGGTTTCACCGCCATGGGAGCGAACGTGAGCATTGTCGGTCGTTCCGATTTCGAGCTCATCAAGGCGCACCTCGCATCCACATCAGCACTATCGGAATCGCATTGGATTGTGATTTTCCCTCACGATGGCGAGGATGCTTCGTGGCTTCAACTGCAAGAGTGTCGCAAACGTGGCGCGCGACTGGTTGTCTTTAATACGGAACCAGGCTATCCTGGCCAACCTCAGAGCATTACCCAACTCGTCAGCTACCTTGGCGCAGCTGAGATTTGGGAGTATTCGCAGAAGAATCTGCTGTACTATCACAGCACCACTCCTGCAATTGTACGGTATGTTCCACCTCATTACACTCATTCCTTAGATTACGGTATTGATCTGCACGGTGGCCCTGTACAGAAGATGAATTCGACATGCGTTCTTCAAACTAAAAGCACCCGGGATTCCACGATCATGGATGCAGTGTCTGAGTTTTTCCAAGGTTCATTGCAAGAGTTGGAGGTCAACCCAGCCAACGCAACACTCTCGACCATGAGAAACGCGTTCATAGATTGTGCGATTGGTCTAAATTTGCATGCGTTGGGCGGTGACCTATCTGTAGGACAAATGGAGTCGTTCCGCATGGCCTTGTTTCTTTCAAACAAGATGTGTGTGGTGTCCGAGGGACTTGACCCAGTGGAGATGCCGATCTGGGACGGCCTCGTGCAGACGCCAGGTGTTTGGAAGCCAGATATGGAGTCAAGACTTGCAGGTTTGAAGCAGTTATCCATCTGCTTGCGGCCAGTTCCGCCACTGTGCCAGCGCAGCATTCTGTACAGTGGAGGCCCGACTGCACGAGACCCTCCACAAGAGACCCAACCCTGAGATTCCAGGACGTCCACTGGTTTTTGGTGCGGGAGCGTCGCGCTTTCCATCGCAAGACCATCGAAACCCAAGCAACCCGGGGTGTTTCCTGGAGGGCAGCAGGGTGCTTCTTGGCACGGGCCCCCACTGCATGGCGAGAGGCGCCGAGCCGGCAGCGCGCGACGCCCCTCGCCTCAGAGCCCTCTGAACAACGGGGGGGGGCCTCTCACGGGGGCCTTCCTGGGCCACCCTGCGGCTGTGCCTGGGCTCCTGCGGGGCCGTCTTGGCGCTCGCTTTGGTCGCATTTAGGGGAACGGGCAATAATAACATAAACATAGAAATCTCGGAGGTCCGCGCGGATTTGTCTTGGATCGGCACTGGACCCCCCTCCCTGGCACGCGGAGCGCGCCAGGGGCGGCGCTGGAGGCGCCACCAGGGGTGTCGAGCGCGGACCCGAGAAATCCGCGCGGACCTCCGAGTTGTTATCCCCCACATGTTTAGTGGGGTTTTGGTTTTCTTCACTGCCGCGCCGCACCCGCGTCTCACACCTCCTCCTCCTCCTTCCCCTCCTCTTCCTTCCTCCCTCACCCACAGCACAGCACAGCACAGCAAATCAAAGCACACTCATACACACATACACACATACACACATGCTTCGTCGGGTTCTGGTTGTTCCCCACATGTTTGGTGGGGTTCTGGTTCCCCACATGCTTGGTGGGGTTATGGTTTTCTTCTCTGCCGCGGGGGGGTGCGCAGGGGGTGGTCTCTCACCGCGGCCGCTATCCACGACACTGTTTCTCGACGCCAGAGGGGGTGCGCAGGGGGTGGTCTCTCACCGCGGCCGCTATCCACGACACGGTTTCTCGACGCCAGAAAGGGGTGCGCAGGGGGTGGTCTCTCACCGCGGCCGCTATCCACGACATTGTTTCTCGACGCCAGAAAGGGGTGCGCAGGGGGTGGTCTCTCACCGCGGCCGCTATCCACCACACTGCTTTTCGACGCCAGAGGGGGTGCGCAGAAGTGGTCTCTCACCGCGGCCGCTATCCACGACACTGCTTCTCGACGCCAGAGGGGGTGCGCAGGGGGGGGTCTCTCACCGCGGCCGCACGCTATCCACGACACTGCTCCTCGACGCCTGAGGGGGTGCGCAGGGGGTGGTCCCTCACCGCGGCCGCTATCACGGACACTGCTTCTCGACGCCAGAGGGGGTGCGCAGGGGTGGTCTCTCACCGCGGCCGCTATCCACGACACTGTTCCTCGACGCCAGAGGGGGTGCGCAGGGGGTGGTCTCTCACCGCGGCCGCTATCCACGACATGTTTCTCGACGCCAGAGGGGGTGCGCAGGGGTGGTCCTTCACCCCGACACTGACACGCCATTTCGACGCCAGAGGGGGCGCGCAGGGGGTGGTCTCTCACCGCGGCCGCTGTCCACGACACTGCCGAAACGCCTAGCAGGCGCGGAAAATTCTCGACGCCAGAGGGGGTGCGCAGGGGGTGGTCTCTCACCGCGGCCGCTATCCACGACACCGTTTCTCGACGCCAGAGGGGTGCGCAGGGGGTGGTCTCACCGCGGCCGCTGTCCACGACATTGCCGAAAAACCTAGCAGGCGCGGCAAATTCTCGACGCCAGAGGGGGTGCGCAGGGGGTGGTCCCTCACCGCGGCCGCTATCCACGACACCGTTTCTCGGCGCCAGAAAGGGGTGCGCAAGGGGTGGTCTCTCACCGCGGCCGCTACCCACGACACTGTCGAAAAGCCTCGCGGGCGCGGCAATTTCTCGACGCCAGAGGGGGTGCGCAAGGGGGGGTCTCTCACCGCGGCCGCTATCCACGACACTGTCGAGAAACCTCGCAGGCGCTGCAATTTCTGGACGCCAGGGGGGGTGCGCAGGGGGTGGTCTCTCACCGCGGCCGCTGTCCACGACACTGTCGAAAAGCATCGCGGGCGCGGCAATTTCTCGACGCCAGAGGGGGTGCGCAGGGGGTGGTCTCTCACCGCGGCAGCTATCCACGACACTGTCGAAGAGCCTCGCGGGCGCTGCAACCTCTCGACGCCAGAAGGGGGTGCGCAGGGGGTGGTCTCTCACCGCGGTCGCTATCCACGACACTGTCGAGAACCCTCGCCGGCGCGGCAATTTCTCGACGCCAGAAGAGGGGTGCGCAGGGGGTGGTCTCTCACCGCGGCCGCTATCCACGACACTGTCAAAAAGCTTAGCAGGCGCGGCAATTTCTCGACGCCAGGGGGGGTGCGCAGGGGGTGGTTTCTCACCGCGGCCGCTACCCACGACACTGTCGAGAGCCTTCGAAGGCGCGGCAATTTCTCGACGCAAAAAGGGGGTGCGCATGAGTGGTCTCTCACCGCGGCCGCTACCCACGACACTGTCGAGAACCCTCGCAGGCGCGGCAATTTCTCGACGCCAGAAGGGGGTGCGCATGGGGTGGTCTCTCACCGCGGCCGCTATCCACGACACTGTCGAAAAGCCTCGCAGCGCGGCAATTTCTCGACGCCAGAAGAGGGGTGCGCAGGGGATGGTCTCTCACCGCGGCCGCTATCCACGACACTGCCGAACAGCCTTCGAAGGCGCGGCCATTTCTCGACGCCAAAGGGGGTGCGCAGGGGGTTGTCTGTCACCGCGGCCACTATCCACGACACTGTCGAGAGCCCTCGATGGCACGGCAATTACTCGACGCCAGAAAGGGGGTGCGCAGGGGGTGGTCTCTCACCGCGGTCGCTATCCACGACACTGTCGACAACCCTCGCAGGCGCGGCAATTTCTCGACGCCAGAAAGGGGGTGCGCAGGGGGTGGTCTCTCACCGCGGCCGCTATCCACGACACTGTCGAAAAGTTTAGCAGGCGCTGCAATCCCTCGACGCCAGAAGGCGGTGCGCAGGGGGGGGTCTCTCACCGCGGCCGCTATCCACGACACTCTCGAAAAGCCTCGCAGGCGCGGCAATTTCTCGACGCCAGAAGAGGGGTGCGCAGGAGTGGTCTCTCACCGCGGCCGCTATCCCTGTCAAAAAGCCTAGCAGGCGCGGCAATTTCTCGACGCCGGAGGGGGTGTGCAGGGGGGGGTCTTCTCACCGAGGCCGCTATCCACGACACTGTCGACAACCCTCGCAGGCGCGGCAATTTCTCGACGCCAGAAAGGGGGTGCGCAGGGGGTGGTCTCTCACCGCGGCCGCTATCCACGACACTGTCGAAGAAGCCTAGTAGGCGCGGCAATTTCTCGACGCCAGAAGGGGGTGCGCAGGGGGTGGTCTCTCACCGCGGCCGCTATCCTTGACGTTCGTCCAGGCACAGCAGGAATGGCATAGTCTCGAGAACGTAGGGGGTGCGCAAGGGGAAGTCTCTCACCGCGGCCGCTATCCGTGACGTTCGCCCAGGCACAACAGGCATGGCATAGTCTCGAGAACGTAGGGGGTGGTCTCTCACCGCGGCCTCTATTTGTGACGGTCGCCCAGGCACAGCAGGCGTGAACACGCGCAACCTTACATCAGTATGTGGGATTCTTCGGTAGTGTAATTTTTATGTCATTGTTCGTTCCCCTAGTGTTGGGCAAGATTGTGCTCCTCCTGGCCGACTCTTGGGGCGGTCTCGGATCGTTTTTGGGAGCCTTTTTCGGGGGCCTCCTGGACTATTGGAAGGCTTCCTTGGGGCCCTCTGGGCTTGGTCTGGGCGGCGAAGGGCGTGGAGGGCAGCAACGTTGGATACGTCTGTCACGTTGCGGTCCCTTGCGTCCCATCTTGAGGCCTCGTGTCCGTCCTGGTCCTCCTTGGGGCTATCTGCGGGGCGACTCGGAGCAAAGCCGTGCTGAGCCAGCTTGAATCAGTCTGGACCTCAGTGGGCCACGGAAACGGCTGGGCCGTTTTTTAACCGCTTCCGAAGAAAGTGTCTCTTGAAAGTGGAAACGGTAAGGAAAACGGCAACCTGAAGCGGCAAAAAAAGGTCCCGGGATTGGAACCGGAGCCAGAACCGGCAATACAAACGGCGACGGATTTGGTAACAAAAGCGACGTTGGAAACCGGCAACAAAAACGACAAAACGGAAACGGTGACAAAAACGGCGCTGTCGTTTCCAGGGCCCACGACGGTCTGGGCCCAGTCCCGAATCCAGAAGGGTCCGACGTGCGCCAGATCTCGCGTTTTGTTATTTACTCCCGGAGGGGGCAGCGCACGGGCCTGGGTGCGGCGAGGGGGAGGGCGGCGTACAGTGGGGGCCCGTGCCAAGAAACACCCTGCTGGCCTCCAGGGTGCCCTGGGTTTCTTAGATTTCGAGGGTTTTGCGATGGAAGGCGCGACGTTCCCACGCCAGAAATTCATGGGCGTCCTGGGGTCTCAGGGTTGGAACTTTTGTGGAAGGCTTCTTGTGGTCGGGCCCCCACTGTTTTCCCAGAGGGGGCAGCGCACAGGCTTGGGTGTGGCGAGGGGAAGGGCGGCGTAGGGAATGGCCATGAGCCATGCCAGGCAGCACCTGGCAGTAGACTCAGGCGATCGCAAACATGGATCAAGGGGGCGTGGATTAGCGACGGGTCCCGTTTCCATGGGAAACCGCGGATTTCCGCCGCCGAGCGAGGCGGCACTGGTCGCATTTTGGGGAGGGCACCTCTCCCGATCCATGGATTTGGCGACCGCGCGCCAAATCCATGGATCGCTAATCCATGTTTGCGCGCCCCCGAGTATATCACGCCTAAACGTGCCAGGGAGCAGGGTGGCGGATTCTTGCTCATACAAGAGCTCAGGGAGGACCCCGTAAAGCTGGGTGAGTGCAGACGGACATCGCATGAGCTGTACAAACAGCGTTTCTCCAGCGAGCAGGTGTTTTCGAATGCAGGTATAAATGCCACGATGTTGAGGAACCTTTCCAGCAGGAGTCTCATCATCTCCGGAGCCGAAGTTTTCCGAGCGTTCGCAGAAAGTCTAGGGCGTAGCTCTTAATATGTGGGAGGGCTTGCAAATCAAAGTGTTTTCAGCCAGTGTGGTCAGGGTCTGTATACCTTCGATGCTTCGGGGCAGGGCTCGCCACTAAGCTGGCGTCTTTTCCAGACAAATACTTTAACACGTTGGCCGAACGTGATGATACTGCAGTAGAGTCGCCCTGCAGATTCAGTAGCATGGCCACGCTGGTAAGACCCAGCGGTATGACCTCGCACTGCGAGAACGTTGCTACATTCAGCAGTTGTGGTCATCATGTGTTCCGCCGCCTTGGGGTGCCGCGCAGAGTCCACCCAGTGACCCCAGCGGGCTAGACACCACGCGTACGTACGTTGGTGTTTCTGAGCACGCCAGCTCCTGGAATCATCTTATCATGGGTACCTCCCAGCAGCCCTTTTCTTTTTAGTATTATTTATGTGCCTCCCTGTCCCGCCGCCATGGCCCTCGACTAGCGTGACCTTCCCCGTGAGAGGGTCACTCCAACGATCGGCGCTGCGACCCAGCGCCAAGACTAGGGCCCCAGAAACCAGGACATCGCAAAGCAGGAGTTTGGGGCATCCTCCCCGGAGAAAGCGAATCATGGAGGACGCCTCGAGCCATGGCTGCAGTCCTTTTGTTCGTGCCAACGTTCGAGGAACGCAAAACGGCGCAGACGTAATTCTTGACGCTTCGCTTTTCCCCACCAGCCCATCCAGGAACGATGCCCAGGCGAGTTGCATTGATCAGGGAAGCGGAGAACCCTGCAGTGTATCAAGAGTTGGGGAAGCAGTCAAACTGAAGGGGACGACAGAGGATGGAAGAGGAGCTTCCCTAGACCACCTCCGCCCACAGGGCTGGTGGGATCTCTCGGAGGTCCGCGCGGATGTCTTGGATCGGCGTTGCCCCCCCCCCCCATGGCGGCGCCTCCGGCGCCGGTGCCGCCTTTGGCGCGCTTCGCGCGCCAGGGACGGGGGGTTCAGCGCCGATCCAAGGAATCCGCGCGGACCTCGGAGAAGTTATGTTTACGCCAGCTGGTTGTTCCTCCAAACGTTTTGGTTCATCAGAGCCCCCGTTTGCGGGGACTTGACATCCCGCCCGTCTCCCCGCCCCAAATTTTTGATCCCACCGCGCGAGAGCGGGTCGGCCTCGGGCTCATTGGCGGAGCCGTCTGTGGCTCTCCTCCATTATCGCTCCTCCTCCTCCTCCTCCTCCTCCTCCTACTACTCCTCTTCCTCCTCTTCACTTCTCGCTCCTCCTCCTCCTCCTTCTCCTAATCCTCCTCCTCCTCCTCCTCCTCCTCCTCCTCCTCCTCCTCCTCCTCCTCGCTCCGCAGCTGACCCGCCGCGCCGACCCAAGGTGCAGCGAATTATCGTCCAGTCTCTCTGCAAGGCCGCGTTCTCGTCGCCGTTCACAGTCACACCCCACCGCCACCTCCAGAGCTCTCTAGCCGCTGGTCTGCTCTCAGGTCAGCTCTCGGCGAAGTCCGTCCCAGCTGGCGCTGGGCAGCATTCAAGACTCTCGCAGGCTGGGGAACAACACACCGCATGCATGTGCTCACGCAGAGGCCCTGCGTCTTCGGCTGCACGGGGCGCGCCAGATTCATGTCCCCCCCTACCTCTCCTGCCCCGCCCTCGTGAGCCTCCTCTTGTCCCCCGGCTCGCCTCCGCTCCTCATCGCGCTTACTACATGGGCCATGAGCCCTACAGCAGCCTAAATATCCGTTTTCGGAGGGCACCAATTATACACCAACACCGATCCTGGCCCAGGATCACCCTGGGCCCAGGATCGGTGCATATGCCTTCTTGCGCAAGGCAGGAGGGCGTATACACCGATCCTGGGCCCAGGGTGATCCTGGGCCAGGATCGGTGTTGGTGTATAGTTGGTGCCTTCCTACGTTTGACCCTGCCAGTCACTTGTCGCTGCGGCGGGCGATCCAACGGGCGGCACTCGCACTCTACATCCACAACATCATGAAACAGACCATTGCGCCGACGCCAGGCGCGATCCGCGTCCGCGCTCCACGCAGCCCGCGCCCTCTATCGTGGCGGCGAACCCGCCCGTCTACCAGCGCCGCCACAGCGCTGCGTTTGTAGCGTCGGTGCGTGGCCGAGGCAAGACGGACGAGTTCGCTTCAAGCTATTCGTGCACTCCTCGTCCTCCTCATCCTCCTCCTCATCCTCCTCCTCCTCGCCCCGTGTGCGGGCGCCGTGGGGTCTGCCCCCGAAGCCGGGCCGAAGGCGTGCACCTCACGGGTTTTTGGGCTTCAAGGTGACCGACGCCCCTTCGGCGCAGGCACTGGGGAGGCGCCCCTGCGCACAGCGCGCAGGACGCAACTTGTCCGGCGCCCCGGCTTTTTCCGAGGCGTCTGAGGGCGGCTTGGACCAGATATCCACGTGCCGCCTGCAGGGCTCTGTCTCATTTCGTTTCATTTCGTTTCGTACGATCTCTTCTCATCTCATCTCACACAACCTCATACGGCTTATTCGTATGATCCCTTCCCTCCACGCCTGTTTCATCCAGAGCGTTTCGGCCTATCGAAACCGTTCCAATGTACAATTCCGTGCAATGGTTTTGCTGTTGACGGCTGACCATTGCGTCGGTACGTGTTGCCACTTTTCGGATAATCGTTGAAGCCGCCCCCGTTCACGACGGGAGTGATGGGATGTCCTCCGACACAGCGAAGGAAGTTCAGCGACTGCGTCACGGAGGTGACCCCGAACACCATGCAGGTCCAATCGTTGGTGGCCTCGGACGGCGGCGTCCTCCTCGGCTTCCAGGCGCCCCCAAGTCCGCAGGCCCTCCCACAGGCCCCTCACGTACTTCGGGGCGAAGATCCGCTATGGGGCGGAGCAAAGAATGACATGTATTCACAGCGAAGACGGGGGAACCTCCAAGTGGCTTCCACATCTCGACAACTTGCTGCGTGCACGTCGCCGACGACAAACTGTGCGTACACAAGACGGACGCCGACGTGACCCACGTTTGCTTGTTCGTTTGAAGCGCCTGATCCACCTGGCTGGTCAGGAGGTGGAGCCGTCGACCCACAAAGAGCTCGCGGCTACGCTGCAGCACCTCTTGCAGGACAGCGCGGGCACGACGACCTCACCCTCTGCTGCCCGTGCTTTTTGAACTGCCCCCCACCAAGTCCAAGACGGTCAAGCCCCTGCCCCGCCCGTGGGGATCAGCGCCAGCGTGTCAGGCGGCCCACATCAAAGACAAGGAAGATGAAGTTGAACGCATTCCTGTGGCGGCTTGTCAGAACCGCAAGGAGTGCGACGCAGTGCAGGACTGGTGGTGGGCGAGCTACGTTGGCCAGCGAGCTCCACGACGAGCTGGTCTACCGACAGGGGTGGAGAACGGCGCCCCCAACACGACGCCCACCGAGAAGCCTGCCAGTGCCAGGCTGACTCTCGCCATGGACTTCGCCGAGGATTGGTTGTCCCAACAGGCGAATGAGAAACCCGTCGCGGTGGCCTCGCTGGTGCTGAACGCCGAGCTCGCGAAACGCGTCTTGCAGACAGGGGGCGATCGCGTACGTACGAGGCCGAGATTGCCGCGATCTTGATCGTTGCCCCGCCCCCGGCAGACGACGCATTCCATTTTCCGCCGCCCACGGGGGTGTTCTTGAACAAGCAACGGTCAACATTGGTTCTTGTTTGGCGCAAGCTCAGAGACGATGAGGACAATTCCTTATCCTTTGAAGGGGCGCAAGCCGTCGCAGTTGCAGCGAAGCGGCGCCTCGTCCATAGGCCCAGCGAGAAAAGTTCGTTGGGCGTTATTTCGTCACCCGTCGTGGCCGCCGGCATTCTGCCGAGATGGATCTTGCAACGGCCGCCAGCATCGCAGGCCCGAGACGAGCAAGGTCGAGCGTTGGCCGTCGATCGCGGAATCGACATTGTCAAGTGCCACGAGGCGCGGGGCTCGTCAGGGGTTCCTCCGAGGCGATCTTGATACGTTGGTCAGCGGCCAGGTGACAGAGTTCAAGTCAGGCCTCTTTGCTACAATTGCCCCTCCATGCCGCGGTCATAGTCGGCTTCCACCGACGAAGCTCCGACGACGTCGCGGGGGGCGCCCAGTCATCCGACATCGGCGCCGACGACGGCGCCTGCCTCCACCTCGTCTCCAGCGTCGGCCCCAGGCGACGCCGACGAGGGCGGTGACCCTATCGCGGGCGTCGGGGGCGCGGGCGGCGCTCCGCCGACTCAACCCGACCCGAAGACGGCCAGGAAGGCCTCGTCGGCCCCCGACCCGCCACCGTGGAGCTCATATTTGAAGACGCGCGATTGCGGGAACAAGGGCGAATGCTTCTATTGTTGTTCCAGCTACCACGCGCGCATGAGCAAACGACCCACAGAGCCCGCAAGCCCGCCGACCTCGGACCTCGAGGGAAGTTGCAGGCCACTCCCAGGAATGCGGCGGCCGCCGAGATGTCGAAGATAATAGTTGCCAAGGAGGAAGCATGCGCCCAGGCCCAGGCCCCAGGCGGAGGCGCGCGCGACTTCGCGCGCTGCTGCGGCCGCGGCCAAGGCGTTGAGCGCGGACTTCTTGGCATGGCAGAAGCAGCAGGGGCAGCGGCATCTTTTCACTGCCCCTGTCAACATCAGGACTTCCAAGAAGTGCTGGCTGACCCTCGCGGACGGCCGCTATGAGCCCATCGTGAAGAAACTGCGCCTGCGCCCGCCGAAGTGGAGTATGAGTAGCGAAAGTTGCCCGGGCCTCATCCAGATCCTTTAACTGGCGGGGGTCGCGGTACGGAGCCCCCATCGTCGGGCGAGGCTCGGTGTCTGCTGACCCCGGCTACTCCAGCGAATTCTGCGAGGGTGTCTCTATCTTCAAGGGGTG